TGTGTGTGTGTGTGTGTGTGTGTGTGTGTGTGTGTGTGTGTGTGTGTAAGAGAGAGAGAGATACTTTTAAAAGTTTTGTTTGCTTAGCGTGACATTAGAAAAATAAATGCGATGTTTTAACAACAGTCTATGTAGGCTATATGATGACTTTGCTTTTCATAGTTGTGCTTTAAAAGCAGTTAATGCATTGTTTAAAAAAAGTCCTATGCACAGTTAATACATTATTCTCAAAATATCAGTTTCAGGTGATGAGTGTTGCACTTTATGTAAGACCTGAAGTATTTGAATGTTGAAAGTTATTTATTTTTTTTTTGTTGATACAAGTGATTTTGTGAGGGCCAAACTGAAATGATGAATCTGTAATAATGATAATAATAATAAAGCCTGTTGAAATGTGCAAAGTTGACTAGCTGTCCTTTTTGGAAATATGACAAATGCAAGAAAGTACATCAAACATAGAGCTGGGAAATAAAAGCAATAATAGATCGATTTTGATTTATAAATGTTTTTAAGAAGGATATTCTCATTTAATTTAAAGAAAACTATTATATAGTAATAGGAGATTGTCATTGAGCCAGCAGTCTCGTATAACGGCGTTGTTTTCCACAGTTTCTTACCAAACATTCACCACATTTTTACACGCAGAAATACGCAACATATAATAAATTACACACACAACTTGTCGCTTTAATACAAATATGAACAAAGCTCCAAATATTATTCACCTCCTGGAACTTTTGTTCTGATGTTTGCATTCCACGGACATAAAATAAGACTGAGTACCCGGAAGTACTTACCGGAAGCTTCCTGTGAGTACTTCCGGGGTCAGTAGCAGCAGTCGGTGTGCGTGTGTTTTGAATGTTTTAACTGTAATTACATATACGCAGTGTGTGTTTTCCGCCCCAGACCAACAGAGAGGGAGGCTGAGCGATGAATACCGTCTTTCGAAAGGTCTATATTATTATTATTTTAGTTTTCTCTCCGTTAAATGTTACGTTTTTTTCCCCACAGAGGTCATAGCTGCAGCTCTGATAGTCAACCAATCCACATATGCATGTTACAATAACATTAGTCCGAGTTTATCTGTTTAACTGTTTTGTCTCTGTATGTTTGCGAGCTCGTGTGCAGATTCAACTTGAACTCACCTAACGATAATGTTGAGAAGCGTGTGCTGTATCGAAGCTGATTTTATTCTGTTTTCTTCAGTTGCAGGTGTCTGTCACGCAACAGGCGTTTGTGTTGAACCAAGCACTTACATCATGCCGGTAAGTCTTTGCATTACTTTATATAATAAAGCCTTCAGTTAGCCATGCAAACAAAGTATCACTTGGGTATTATTTTCACAACTTTGGCCATTTTTCTTCTTTTAGTTATAACATTTTATGCAACAAAGTAACTGCAGAGTCAGGAATGTATCAACATCACTCCAACACAGTTTGATGATCAGACGAGTTGTAAACAAGCCCACATTTTTATCTGATGGAAAAATATATACTTGCAATACAAATACTTTTGATTAACCGGTTAGCCACAAGAATGCAGATTATTAACTTTTTGCCTAATAGGTCCTAAAGTGACATTGGTGATATGAATCCTCTCTTTCTGACTCACACTTCCTGTTTTATTTAAAGGGCCACACCATCCGTCCAGCATCCAGTTTGGGGTGAGTATTTCAAAGAGCATTATGAATGAAACACTTTGTCCTTTGCATGTAAAATACTGTGTTTGTGTTGCTGCTATCGGACAATCTCTCGCCTGTTAAATGTATGCAATGGGTAGCATGTTTATACAGAATGTTTCCATCGGCACATTTTCTTTTTATTCTCAGCTGCTGTAAACGAAAGACAATACAAAACCATGCCAACACACGGGATCGGGAGGTGGAGACATCTGTTACCTAGAGAAGCCGTAAGACTCTTAAAACCTCAATTATTTCTTCTGCACGCTCTGCCTCTTGATGAGCTGAGATCAGGCAGAATAGTTTGAGAGGATGCAGTTACCAAAAGGCCAGATTTCCCCGCTGTATTAATATCACTTCTAATAGCTGATTTAGTTTTTACAGATTACATTTGCAAAGTCAAAAGTTCAAGCTTCAATTCAATTTATTCACCCATAAAAACATGGAAATTACAGAAATCACATTATTTTCAACCAACACTGACACACAAATGGTGAAACCATACAACCATAGAAGAGAATTACATAAAACTAACAAGTACTCACTTAAAACTCTTTGAGACTGTATTCATTCTGACTATGTTTAGATTAATAGACGTGCAGCTGATGGTGAGTTTTAAGTGCGCCCTCTGCTGGACCTCAACACAAACTACTTCAACTGATCTGTTGGGCTTCTAGACTGTCCATTTTCTTTTCAAATGTTTGAGTATTTTATGTACCGTATGTCCAATCTGGACAAGAGGAAATGTAAATGTCTGTTGTAGTGTCTCATGTTTTATTTTTATTTCTTTATTTTTTATTTTTTTAGCCAAAGAAAAAGAAAGACCGACACCAGATGAAGGAGATCCTGGCAGAGACGGACACAGCATACGGGACTCTGAATGTGAAAGTGTCGGGTTACGACATGACGTTGGTGGAGCATTACTCCCAGTACATCCACAACCTCTGCAACCGGCTCGGCATCAAAGTGGCAGAAAGGTGAGGATATTCAGAAAAACACAATTGCTTTACTTCACATGGAGGCTTTTATGATCCCACATAAATATGTCATTCAACAGCACATAGTACTTATAATCTTATAAAGTTAATTTTTTTTCTCAATCGTTGTGTTTCACATGCAGCTATGCTTTGCCGACCAAGACCACAGAAGTCATGCTGATGCAAGAGCAAGGCACCAAGATGTTTGTTGACGCCGTCCTGAAGACTCACTCACGAGTCGTCCAGGTAAAACTGAGCTGCTTCAAGGTTCCCTTTTACCCAGAAGTGCTGTATTTTCTTCACCAGTTTTCCTGAGGAACTGTGTTGACCCGACCAGTGAACTGTGTTTCATTCGTCTGTTCGTCTAGTTGAGCAGTCTGAACGCTACAGCGTGTCCCGTGTTCATAGACGTCCTTTTGAAGAATCAACCAGAGGGAGTTCAGCTCTCTGTGCAGGAGGTGAGTTCATCCTGACGACCGCTCTGTCGCATTATACTTTAGGACACCCAAAACATTCCACCCATATGTTAGCATTTTTGTGTGCAAGGATATTATTATCTTTTAGATACCGTTTGTTTCAGGTCTGCATGACACATCAGGGGAGATGAATTCTGATTGATGATACTCGTCGTCAATAGATCCCTGAAACACTTCACCCTTCCTCTCTTAATCTAGGCTGACACATAGTTTTTACCTGGCTATTGTTGACAGATTTGAAATATTGTGAAACGATTTAGTATACAGTCAGGGGTGTCCACATACTTTTGGTCACATATTGTACATGAACAGGAACCCAAATTAAAGACACCTCTTCATTATGCATGCCCTGAGCGGTTAAACTAACACAGGTCTACATTAAATTAAGCACAGATACATTTAACTTTAACACATACGTAAAGATCTCTCCTCTTCCTGTTTTCCCTCTCAGCACACCGAGGCCGATTTCCATGCGCGGTTCAAGGGCCGTCCGGAGCTGGAGGGGCTGATGGCTCAGATGGGCAATTAAGACCCGTGACGGTCTCAAGTCTGATCTTCAGAGGATCCACCTCGTTTACCTGTTTGATTTTCTTTATTTATTCTCTGACATTTCTTAACTGAACGCCGTCAAAGGTGATCATTTGCATAAAATGTAAAAACTGTTTTTTTGTGACCTCTGGAAAATAAAAATCTCCCTATTTCTTTCCAATTTAAGTCATTGTCATTTTTAATGCTTCAATTCTGTTCCTTTAGAGTAAATGTGCACAAAAAATGTCAAGGAAAGTGGCATCTGCTTTTTCCATAGAGTTCTGTGAAACGACTGCCTTCCAACACTTTTACAGTCCTGTTACCTGTGCCTTGATAAATCAATGTCACATTATTCTGGTTTAACCATTTAGCTGAAGGGACCCTGTTGGTTTTTTGGTAAAACAAACAAACCAGCCTTCAATATTTTCATTAATAATTCAAATCTAACATTTAGTCGAGCTCTTTAGCAACACGTGTTCTTGTCTTCAAGTTTCCTACTGAACTGCTTGATTCCTCTAAAGTTAATAATTCAAACAAGTCAAGTGGAGTTCAATATGTTTATTGCAAGATGAAACAGATTACATGTAAATCAAGCTGGTCCATGGAGCACCTGGATTTAGACTGAGAAAATACACACGTTCATAACATTCAATACCTCCTGCTTTTGTGGAGCTTGCGGGGGAGAACATGCCCCCAAAACATTTAGTTTCTGTTCCATATTCAATATGGTATCTTATCTAGTGCCTCTAGGTTTCGTTTCTTGGTCAATCCCTCCCGTACATTTCCCCATTCAAGCGTCATTCTATTATACTGGTGCCTTGGCCGCCAACAGCCCCATACAGTTCTCTGTTAGTTGCATTCACCTGGCTTTTTCTGGCTAGATGAGGAAGACAAATCTACGCTTAAAAGCTTTGTAACAGTCATAGACAATTTAAACCTTTAAACAGAATATAAAAAAGGCACCTATGTGTATCCTTTACATTGGGTTTGCTTGACCCATATCGCTATTTTCCACTGAGAGAACATCTTTCTTTGGTTGTTGCTTCATATGTTTCATGAATCCATAAATGCTTAAATAGATAAATTGTTAAAGTTCTAGAAGCTTAATCTCCTAACAGGTCTAGTGTGTGTAGGACTTAGTCAGGTTGCAGATTACAACCAAGTGAAGAATCTCCAGTGTAACGAGCGTGTAGGAGAACTTTAGGGTCTGACGTGAATGGCCGTCTGTAGAGCTAATGTTTGGTTCGTCCGTTATGGGCTACTGTAGAAACACTGCAGCTGGCTCCGTGAAGATATAAACGTCCCATTCTAATATAACAAAAACACAACTTCACTAAATATACACTAAAGAAAACATACCTTTTAATATTATATTCCATTTCTCCAATAGATCCCCCTAAACGCTACACACCGTTCCTTTAATTAAAGTCACTCTTTTCATCTAAACTAAAAGTGTTTTCCTGTTTGACCAGTACTGTAAGAATGCTAAACATTTTATGGATAACATTGTGCCCACTTATTGTCCATAGCTACAGCAATTCTTTTTACTTTGACACTTCGTTCCTTTACTCAGATCCCTCAAGCTCAGCGATGAGAGGCCTCATGCTTCTCATCCTTTTTAGGATTTCATAGAGTGCGTCCTTGCCACCTGAAGTCAAACACTGCAGAATGCCACTCATCTGGTCTTGTGCTTTGTTTAAAGATCTCAAAGCCTCGTAGTTCTCTTCTGAGATCCATCCCCCGTCCTTGAGCTTATCCAGGATGGCTCCTGTATCGCTCACTCCGTTCATCAGATGTGTCTGATGGAGATCCACAAACTGCTGACCTGAAGCAGGCAAATAAAAGCAAAGCAAGCGAACAGTGAACACTAGAAGTTGTTACAGTCATATGTAGAAATTATTACCCAAGGAACAGAAAAATAAAAGCAGAACATAATCATTTTTGAGACCACTTATCATTTCTCAATCCTATTTTTTATTTATGCACATTACTTACCTCCAGTGGTATCTTCTGGTGTTATTTGTTCGGGTTCGGAACGATTCATCCCTGAGATTTCTTCTGCTACACAGTCTAATGGAATGAGATTTAATTAGTGGTGCACACAGAAATGAAAAATAACACTTAAAAAAAATTCAACAGCAATGTTTATCTCCAAAAACAATGACAACTATTTATGTATTTCCAGATGCAACAATTCTGTAAAAAAACACAGACTAAAGCCTGAAACTATGTTTAATTATGCTTAAGTTATAGTACATTACCCGTCTTATCCTTGGCTGCAGGTTTTGTCTGGATGTCAAAGGCTACAGGACCTCTGATGGTAAATCCGAGGTAAAAGGAAACTCGCCGTGGTCTCCAGAGGCTGTTTTGGCGGTTTGCATCCACCTCAATCATTACGTCATCAATAGTTGCAAAGACTCTGTACTTTCGTACCACTCCTTCAACTTTGACAAGGCGTGCTTGGACCTCGGGAACTTTGAAAATCTTCTCTTTCCTCCAGTTGTTGCTCCAATCTTGTTTTGTTTCCTCACTTTGCTCTAGAAACAAATTTTCGAGGACCTTTCTGTGAACAATTCTCTTCAGGTCTTCACCATTTCCAATGAAGAACAGGGGGCGGAGGTACCGCGATCGAAAGTGTATCTTATATGCAACTTCGTAAGATCGGTTCATCCGTCGAATTAATTCATTGAGGTCGAGGACACATTTGGCTTCACTGCCTGTAGGCCAGCACAGGAGGAGGGCTAACATGTGGAGCTCAGGTGAATCGTTGGGGATCAGAGGCATTTTCTCTTTGAATGCAGCTAGATGTTTGCAATCAGAAGGAGATATTGCTCCCATATTTCTTAACATGATGTGAGCGAGGATGTAGTTGACCAGAGCTGTGACTGTATCTTTCTGAAGAAAGATTTCTTCCCACCATGTAGTTATTTCTTTAAGGTCCGATTCAGTGCATTCTCTGTCAAGACACGAGAGTACTCCAGCCGACGTGTTCGCTAGGTTTTGTTTGAGCTTCTGGATGAGATCAGCGCCTTTTTGTTTGAAAGCTTTGGATGGGGAGTTTCCGACAAAGTTCCTGTAGCACTTTGAGGTGTCTTCGGAAATGTACGCGGGATCGTCTTTCACGTCAGGCTTTGAATAAGTCAGATATTTATCGAAGAATGCACATTTTCTCTCGATCTCATCTCTGAGGCTGTTTATCAGATCGTTAAATCTGAAGAGTTTGTTGTCTCCAAGTGATTCCAGGACAGAGCCCAAGGACACATTCTTTGTAAGAACTTCTCTCCAAGTATCGTTCTGACTGACAAGCAGGTCATACACAAGGTTGCAGACCTGCACATAACCAACCTGCCCTCTGACGTTAAAAACATTCGAGACTTTGGTACTGCCATCTCCTTTCATCTCCGACCCCTGTTGATTTTCAGCAAGTCTTTCTTCATCTTTGAAAGCTTCAATGGCCTTTGATGCCAGTTGCAAAATTTCTCTTGGTTTGGCAGGACGCTCTTTGTTCTTCAAATGGTTCTTATGGACCTGGCCCAGTGTATCAGCAACAAAGGAATTTTGAGGATCTCTTAGCTTTGCTCTCTTTGCCCATTTTTCAGCCCGATTGTAGTATCTCAGTTCTGTGTAATAAAAACGAGCAAGCGCTTGTGGAAAAAATGGATTTCGCTGAAACAGCTGTGACGCGACCTTTAGAACTGACACACTCTGTTTATTGCTCTCAATCTTTTGAATATCTAGGATGAGCCTAGAATACCTTTCTTCAAACTCTGTTCCATCGATTGGATCCTCTTCTTTTTTCATGTCTTTTGGTTTTGTTCCTCTCTTGGTGAGCATGTCTTTGATGAAACCAACCAAAAACGGAGGGGTCTCATCAAAGCACAAACGAGTCAACAAGTTTCTTGCTGTGTCACTTCTGGTCACACCGGATCTAGCCATCAATTCAGTACAACACTGTGCTATCATAGGGTGAGCCATGCAGACTTTTTTTTCAGATCTTCCATCTTGTTGGAATGTGATGATGAGATGGCTGAAGGGCTCCATCCTGTCCTCCAGAGAAAAGTCTCCGTGGCTGTAGTCGTCATGTTTGAAGAAGTCCATGCACTTGGACTCCAGGAGAAATGAGCCTGGTACATAGGCATTGAGCAGGGATAAGAAGGCAGCAAGCTGGTTCTTCTGTGGTCTATTGGCTTTTTTGGTGGTTTTGAAAACAGAACATGCCTCTTGGATGTAAGCCTGAGAGAAATTAGTTTGCATTATGTTGAAGCCGTGGAATTGTTTGTGTCCATCACTGTACCTTATGCTCAGTTCTTTCTTTTTCTCATCAAATTTGTGCTTCTCTTCTTCAGAAAGGTCTTTTTGTAGGACGATATGGTCACTCTGTAGAACCACATCCTTTCTTACACAGTTGAGTAAAATAGCCACAGGCATATGGCCGGGGACGTGTATGTCCTGCTCAGCAATCGTCACCTTAATGCTACCTTCCAGTTCTTTCATAATCTTCTCATCATTCACCAACAGCAGCACAGTGTTGTGGTTGCGTCGACTGCCTGCTGTGAAAAGCTGGACCACATCCTCTGCAACCTTTGTGATGTCTGAGGTTGAGCCCGTTAAAACAGCGCTCCTGAAGGTTTTCCTCAAGTCCCACAACACCTTCATGGCCAATGTGGTTCCCCCACATCCTGGCTGGTGGAACAGTTGAACAGTTGATATTCCTGGGAATCTTCTCCTTTGGTGAATTGTTTCCACAAGTGTGTCATATCCATCTCGTTTGATGAAGGGAGTTCCAGTGCCATCTGACTCTCTCTGTTCACTAATGTGAAAGTTTAACCATTTGGGTGGGGCCCCTCTGTAAAAGTTTTCCTCTGTCTGATGAAGAAGTTCTAGAGGGAAAGACTCTCCTTCGAACTGATTTGCATAGAGAACATCCAACAGGGAGAGGGAATGTTTGATTTCTAATTTTCCACTTTTAGCGGTGGACGGGGCTGCTCCACTTGCCATCTCAGACTCTCAGTTTCTTTTAATGAATGTAAAAAAAAGAAAAAAGAAAAATTGAAAAGAGAAAAGTATGTTATCTTGGAATGTGCTATTGAACTAATGGTAGAACACATAAATGAATTCGGAACCTTTGTAGATTATGGGTTTATATCATTGACATAATGCAACCCAAAATTATCACCACACACACAAACACACACACACACACACACACACACACACGATGTATATATACTATCTATCTATCTATCTATCTATCTAGGACAAACATATATGAAGGAAATAGCGAAAGTAATAGTTATTAGTATAACATAGTAAACATTTAAAAAGTAGCCACAGTACAAGGAGTAAAACAATAATAACCTTTGTGACTACTGTGCATGGCATCATAAGTTCATATATTAACATTACAATAGCACTCATCTTTTTAGACAAATTGAAACTTCACCATGTTTGCAGTATTAAATTTGTTCTTACCTTTTTCCAAATGATGCAGAAGTCCTGTGAACATGTCATGCACTACATTGCTGCTGAAACCTGAAGGGTGTTGGAGGTACATATATGCCACATGCCACCCCCACAATGGGTGTGATTCCAGAGAGATATGTGAAGCTGTGAATGCCAGATAAAGTTATGTTGTTGTGATCAAACTGTTTGTAGGTCATTCAAGGTTTCATTTGCTTCCTTCTTGAAAAAAAGGCAAATAAAAAAGTTGAATGAGTGAAATCCTGTAGATTTGGCCTTGTGGATGACAAATCCAAAGATGTCTTTTGGTATTGCTGTGTTGTTTTAAACATTTGCTGTGAGTATCGTTTCACTGGAAATGCCTACATGGGCGGGGCAATCAAGAGCTCACAAACAAAGAGTGTTTTTCAGTTCAGTTTCTGGTTTTGGTCACTGTCAACCTTCAACAATGTCTCAAGCTGAGTGCACACATACCCCCTCTAGCAGACAGATATTTATAAAAAATATTAAATATTGTTTGGTCAGTGTTACATTGATTAGAGGTGACGGATTACAGTCAAACAGTCTGCAGCTGTGTCTTAAAGGGACAGTTCCCCTCAAAATAATAGGGGAACTGTCCTCATAGCTCTCGTGCAGTAATCAGATTGTTTTGTTGTAAGTTGCCTAGTTTTGGAGATATCGGTCATAGAGATGGCTGCCTTCTCTTCAATACAATGGTACTATATGGCACTTGTAGTGTACAAAGTGCCAAATATATATATTTGAAAAAAAATCACAGCAATGTCTCTTTCCAGAAATCATGACCTGATGACTCAAGATAATCTCCAGAGTCCAAATAAACTGTTTCCCGCCCTTTCCTCAATATGCTATCTTTGAATTTTTGTAACCTCTCAAACATCTTCGAAAGAAAGCAACTTCACACAGCATAGGTTAGCAAATATATTTTAATATATAATATTTATATTCATTTTAGCACAATGACAATGGCATAATTTCAGTTCAGTCTCATTTAAATCATGACAAAAAGCCACACCTTTGTATTTACTTGAATAATACCTCATATCATATTTTGTTGCAGTCATTACAAGATAAATCCTGAAGTACGTCTTGCCCCATGAGAGGAAAACCTTAAAAGAATTGTCTAACAGCATTGAGCCCATGGCATCCAACGGGGTTATGTTATACGTGAAAACAGAAAATGGATGTAATGACGCTCTTCGATGAATTGTTAAGCACAGCAGCACATCCCACGTATTCTTTGTCACTGAGACGGAACTGTTTCTCTTTCTTTATCTCAAACCACAATTAAGCAACAAGCCTTCACTAACATGAAAAACTGGATTGACAGTGAACATAAAAACACACCTGTCACTTGCTACATCATTTGAGAACGAAGCAATATTACAAAATAACAAGCGAAATACGAGAGAAAACCTCCCACTGACTGACTCAAGGCAGTGACACACAGGACAATTCAAGAATTTAACTCAGCAATGTTACGTGAATCAAAATGATGCTCTTCAAGCTTGCTCTGAATGCTGCCCATCTTCACTAATGGATCAAAAGTGAGTCAAAAGTGACGGTCAAATCCACAGATGTGTCAACTCTCAAAAGCTATTGAGATATTTTGTGTAATACTTACACATTATTAGACTTTTCAAGTCCAGTCTGACACTTCTGAAAAACAAACCCCACCTCAACGACTCCTCTCATGCTGAGTCAAATTGTTCGATGCCTGTAAACCACAGTGATGTTTTTCAGCCTTACATTATTAAACCTCCAGTTACATAGATCAGATTAGTGTTGAAAACACGACACCTCAAAATAGCCTACATTGACCACTCACCGCGCACACAAGCCACAAACGTTACTGTGACCAACTTAAATAAAGATTGTTCACTACAAACATCATGCGACGTTGCTAAATGTCAAGCAATGGCATGAGTTCAAGTCCCTTCGCTACTGCAAGTGAATCAAGTTGGCACTTTTTACCTACAAAGGGAAAGCTTGCTTTTTTTATGCATGAATTGTAAACTTTATTCGTCAGCTCTGGAGAAATGCAAGTAGGTGTGGTTAAAAAGCTTGTGCACAATATTCAGGAACGGACGACTTAATGTGAATCGCACTGTTCCCGTGATGGTTAAAAAGGTGCAAAGGAAAACTGGAACAATGCTGCACAACTTCACACGAAGCGACACAGACATTCAGCATTCCTAACATTAACACTCATGATAATTAACAGCGTTCCTGTGCAAGACCTGCCCCATTCAAAATTACACCGACTAGATGCAGAGGTGTGGCATCTTGAACACATACCAGAGATGTTTTAACCTACACCTTTCTCTCTGCTAACACCTCAAACAGCTAGAACCCAAACGATTCTTCACTCTACTTACACTACTCTATACCCAGCACTTGTACTCATGAAGTTACCTCTTCACTCCATCGCTTCCTCCCTGCGCCCTTTAACCTTTCACCGACACCTTACTTAAAAAATAAAGCGAATAGGGAGCCTCAAGTGTTCACTATTGAATATATAAATACAGAAACAAACTATGTAATTCAAGAGATGTATTGAAGCTCAACTTCATTATGATGAAATATGACGCTATTTAGCACATGCTACTTACCTAGATTGCTAACTAGCTAGTCTGGATAGTTTAGCTGTATTAGCTAGCTTCCTGTGCTCTTTTAGCTAGTTTTCTGGCTAAGCAGGTAGCATGTGCGGCCTTCTTAAGCTAAATAACATGTTACAGTGCGTATGCACACACCTTGCATGGCAGCTGGATTCTCTCGAGAATCCGGGGATCACTTTTAAACTCAATCAAACGTTTATTTGGTTGAATCAGAATTTGACACTGTTAAAACTCTAGCTAACAGATGCTAACTGGCTAAATTGCTCAATTGATTATTTTAATTATTTATCCATTTACTATTGAGCATTTTGTGGCTCCATACAGCACTGGAGTGATTTCTTATTTTTCAGAAGAGGGTTGTCAATTGCCTCAATTATCTTTTTGTATTTTATTAAGTAGAATAAGAAAATACTGCTAATGATCTAGTCATAAAGACAAATCCGGGGTCAACATTTCTTGAACTTTCCACACACACCTGGCCCAACATTTTAAGACTTTAGGTTACACTTCACATTGTCTTTCTCTTGGTGCAATGTGCAAGTGACAACATGTCTCACACGAACAAAATGGCAGATTATGACCTTGTGACTGCTTTTATCTTTTGTCATGATTTGGAAACTCTCTGAATAAAATCATTTCACGAGCAGTGACCACGACACATCTGATCAAATACGACACAGTAAAACAGAATATGTTACATATCAGTTAATACAATGAAATGAGTATCACTTTTTTTTTTTTTTTTTTTGTAAAATCATCACCCAAAGCCGAAACAGCAAAACATGAATGAAGAGATTAACATGAATTATAAAATGTTTGATAAGCAACACGTTTCCCTCCCCTTGATTTGTTTCCAGTTAGTAAAACAAAATCAGGTTACATAAAAACAACAATATATAGGCATTAAATAAATTAATCAAGATCAAAACAAACACAGTGATATATATTCAAAATACATATTTACAACCTAATAAAATGGAAAAAAACAAACAAAGAAAGCACAGTCTTATCCTGAAGGGAAAACAATACTCTTGATTGAATGATTTTTAATTGACGGTTAGCATTACATGCTGAACACCTCCACAGAATATCTGCCTCTTCATTTCCTACTTTATCTATACTCATGTGTTGGTTTATATATATGTATATATATATATATATATATATATATATATATATATATATATATATATATTTTATATAGGTTTGTACTGTTGCAGCATTTACTTAGTTGATATGTACTTGGTACATGGAAATCCAGATTTGACATCATTTGTGACTGATATGTTGATATGTGCCAATTGGCTACCGAGAGAAAGCTAAGCAACGCCAAATATTTAATCCACCTGGTGATGAGGTCAGGGGGGCTGTGCCATGGTTAATATGGTGACATCGATGGGGGTTGACTTTAGAAGGGTAGGAAACATAAAGTGGATATTAAAAGCAAAAACAATGAATGGAGAAAGGTACAGGCACATATCGCTGCTGAGAGAAATTGTAACACTCCAGTGAACACGCTGCTAACCAGGAGCGTCTAGTGCATCACACAGTTTGATTTTTTTTCTTTTTTGATGTTTACAGATATTGCATGGACAAACTACTGACACACTACCACACAACTGTTAACTGTTGAGTCCATGGCCTACCCTACTGAAATTCAGAGAGATTAAAACAAATTAAAAGTCACTTGGTCACATACATCTAAATTCACAATTTGCTATTCAAAGAGCACGTCAAATAAAAAGAGAAGAAAAAGGAAAAATAAAATACAATGGCCCAAATCCTCCCTTGCTGATATTTTGTACAATAATGGAGAGACATGCTAATATCTGGAAAGACAAACCTGCCTTTTGGTTCGTAAGGTCACCAAAGCTCTTCGATGAAACTGGTGAGCGGCAAATATTTATGGCCAATAATCACATCCATTTTAACACCGGGAAAGACCATTACCCAGAGGTCATAGCAGTAAGTATAACTGCCTCCCTTTGCCTGACAATAAGCTCTCAGTTCAGCTCTGTGACAAATGCAGTGGTCCCACTTTGTGTTCACTAGGTTCAAGCTACAGGAGGGCAGCTACCGCTTCACTTGGGGTCAGGCCTAGCTGAAGGGACAATCCACCCAGAAATACTTCAGGCACTGTTGTACATTACCAATCTGAAAAGATCAGTGCATATGCCAGGATACATTTTAGCATGACGTTGCATTTCTATAGTTTTTGGTACGACTTTTTGGAAACACCAGATAAAGAGGACTATGACTTAGAGAACTAGTGCGGTGGCACAGCGGTGCTTTGAGCAGAGGAATCACTTAAGTTATTATAATTCATCCTCTGAGCCCCATGAATCTGAATAACAAAAATTCATGGCAATCCATCCAAAAGTCGTCGAGACATTTTGCAGTAAACAACAAACATCAAACTGTTCGCTGCGCTAGAGGTAAAGTCAGACGATCACCAAAGTCATCAGGAGTCCGCCTCTGACGACCATGAATGTGTGTACCAAACTTTGAGGCAATCAATCCAATAGTTGTTTGGTGGTTTATGTTTTTAATTAGTCTTAGTTGAGCTTATACAATTTACGAGTAGCCTAAGACAATTGTTCGTTGCCTTTCTTGAGGTAAGCTGGGAAAATGCTGATAGGCCCTACATTTGTGGAGACATAAACTGTTTACCTCTTACCATACAGAGACACAGTCATAACGCAGGATCCCTTTTAGGGTTACAGGCATCCAGTTTCCTTTGTTCGATGGTTCCATGTAAAATATCCGGAATATCCTTATTTAGGCAGGTAGTAAATTCTCTAAGGGGTTAAACATTCCCTGCAGGGATGATAATCTCCAGATTTGGGATGGCACTACGCGGTTTCCACTAGTATTGATCCGCTCTATTCTCCTTGACCGAGCTTCAATGAATGAATTGAATTCAAAGCACAGCATATATAACAGTGTTAAAGTATTTAAGGGTGGAATAATCCTGTCAAAGTACAAAGAAACATGACCACTATTGGACTATTAAACCTCCTCACTCAACTGCAGGCATTAAAGGACTATTGGATGCTTGTTACCTTAACACTTTGCTTGCAAAACAGTAGAATAGAGTTCTACATTATAGTTGGTCAAACAATGCTGCCCCCCCCCCCCATGTTTAAATAATGAATATTGGGTATTTTCTGTCCTGAAACTACACACTTTCCTCTCATCAAGTGCCACCCAGCACATCCGTCATGCAGATTCAACACGAGAACATCAGGATGTTGTCAAACACCCCGACGTGTCCTAATTTAAGAGTTCAGTCCTTTAGATTAAGTGATTTGTTGGGAGGATATGTTACAGTGCAGAGTTTTCCTACAGACGTAAATGCACAGGATACAAATCAATCCAACACTACAAATAAACGGTGAGCAATACAAAAGAAAACAGATCACAGAAACTGTGATCGAAATAAAAGTCTTAGTCGTTGGCACTGGGGTTGGAGTGGAGCGTGTTGGTGAGGGAGAAGAAGCAGGGAAGTAAAATGATACACTGATAGATTTGTATGTGGGTTTTTTTCGATCCTACAGCTTCAATAACGTCAAAGATGGGGGCAGAAGTAGATCCACCGACATTCTGTACACACCGACACTGAAGTCCTTAGCAAGTCCTTAGCAAGTGAGAGCCGGTTTTGGATTGACTTGTTGACGTGTGTGCCGGCGTCCGTCTCCGCTTCACACGCACAATCTCTCACAGTTGTGAAAACTTTTCGGGGGTAAACACAAAGTCTGCTAAGGCTTCAATGCGGAGGAAATAAGAGACACAGTGTTCAAAAGAGCAGTTATTATGGTTACGTTTCAACAGTCTTGCTAGTTATTATGTTGGTGCATGGAGGGAATGGCATAGTCAGCTGGTTATGAGCCATTGGGTTTAGTAGAGATCTTTGTCACGATCTACTCTATGTACAGTTTTTAAAGGTCATGTTTCTATCATCACACGCCGTGTTAGTGCTCTGACTTGTTCCTCCTTTCTTTCACTTTGATCTGCGCTTATTCGTTTTATTCAGTTATTTTCAGCAGTGCAACAAATAAAATAGTGAAAGAAAGTTTTGTCTCTTTTAAGTGTCACGCAACACAACATTTTTCACAAAGTAAATGCAATATCCAATACGATTGCTCAATTTATACTTTTGTTTCTGCACTTTTAGTGTTTTTTTTCATCTCAATTTGTCACAGATATGTTTAATAGTTTCAGATTAGATCAAATTAGGCCCTTTAGCTACAAAGGTGAAATTAACATACAGTTGAAATCCGAGTGTCCTCTATGGAACACACACTGCAGGTAAATATATATTATTTCTGCTGTACTTTCTTCTAATATATTATTTGTATATTTACACCTCTAGCCAGCTCATACGACAGCCTTTCATGCTAACTGGTCCCCTTGATGAAAAGAGGACCTATAGACAGGGAACATCCATAGCATAGAAATAATTACTCAACTTTCATAACTCCGCTGTGATTATACGCTAAAGGCAAATATTGGCTTTTCCTATGAAAATCAACTTTTAATATCTTCTTCTAAAATGTTAGACTTTTTTTTAGTTGTTCTTTAATATGATATAATTATCTGTAAGAGTAAAGGGAAAGCATACAGCACCTCTAGCTGAGGAACAGTGACCGCCCTGTCCTTTAAGTTTGACTTAAAGTTTAGTTTAAAATACAGCAAGCTCATGGCAATACGGCCAAAAGAGGCAAAAAGATGGTAACTTGGTAACTGTAATTATTTGTATTGAACTATATGGACTTTAAAGGAATAGTTTGACGTTTGGGGGAAATTCTTTCATTTGCCTTTTTTTACCTAGAGTTAGATGAATGTGGCATCTTTTCATCACACCCAAAATGTTGACTGTTTCTTTCGCCCAAATGTTGAAGTATCCCTTTCAAATTACAAACGCACCTGAACTATTAGAGCAGCTACACACAAAAACAAGAACCCTCATAGAAAACAACCAAAGTCATGTATGGGAGATTCAGATTCATTTTTATATTCATTTCTTTTTCTCACGTTTCTCACTTAAGCTGCAGTTTTGTTTAAAAATATGTTTTTGATAATATAAACTATGTAATTACATGGTTTAGTTTCAGTATCTTAATCTTAAAGTTTTCATTCCATCAGTTTTTGACATTTTGGCTATTTTGCATATTCAAATTGACTTGAAAAACACTGCTGAATTATTAGTCATTGTCATGCATCACTGCACAGACAATGTATCCAGCTTCATATAAACTTTGCCATTTCGATTTGTTGTTAATTAAGTTTTTCAAGGCGGGGTTTGTAGTTTTAAATCATTGTGGATGTAGTTATCGTCTTAAGTATAATTAACTACACTGACACACACACACATTAGCACAGCATCACAGATCGAACAGTGTTTACAGATCACTCTCATTCTGAACTGACCCACTCAGCGTTTGAAAGAGACTTTGTCTCTCTCTCTCTCTCTCTTTATCACTCTCTCTATCACTCTCTATCCTCACACACATACACTGTCGTCCCGTCTCCAGATTTCTTCTTCTAACGTCTCTTTTTCCGCAGCTTCCCGTCTCCCCTCAGCTTGGGAAGAGGCTGCATCGCTACAATCCGATTCGTTGCTTGGTTGGTGTCCGCGGTTATGTGGTTACGGCTTGTGTTAGTGCAAGGAGGGTGCATTGCTGGATGTGTGTGTGCGTGTGTGTGTGTGTGTGTGTGTGAGGGAGGGGGTGTGAGGTGGGGGAGAGATGGGGTTGGTCAGAAACGGTCGGTCGGTTGATTGGAGTGCCAGGAGTGAAGAAATCAAGGTGCAAAGATCAGGGTTGCGGGTCGCGACCTCACACTTTTTTAGGGGGAGGGGCCAACTTGATGATCTCATCTTCAGAGGGCTGGCGGATGATGTCTTTTAGGGGGGAGGGGTTGGAAAAAAAGGGTAGAGAGAGAAATCTTAAGAAACCTATGCTTTAAACAAAGAAAGTTTTAGCCAAAACAAGTCAACTTTTTCTTATGTAGACCAAAGCTGTGGAAGAATCTGCCCATAAATATCACACATGCAACTTAAAGTTACAATCCTTGGTTGGCATTTTTTTCAGGAATAGCCATTTATTGTAATTACATTCTGTAAATACCTCTATATAGTAAATGTATTTGTTCGTGGCGGACTCCGCCATTTGTGTGCGGGACTCAATTCCTCATCAGAAGCGTTCAACTGGTGAAAAACTGGATGGCTTTTATTGTTACGCAGCCATAGAAAACACAGCTTGCCGAAATGTATCACTGATGTTAGAACTGTCCGTCAAAAATGCATCTAGAAAACCTTATTTACTCTGTTTCATTTGTTTACTTGTTTGAATGCATTTCATGCAGATCTATTTTAGGCACTTTGAGTTGCAATTTAACATGTTGCTAAAGAAAAATACATTAACTTTAGACAAAATATTAAAACGTTGAAGCTCTGAGCTTATTATTTACATTTACAGTACATTAAACACTTCGTAATTAAAAAAATCATGTTCAGTATCACAAGCAGGGCCGGGTATTGAGCCTGAAAAGCACAGAAAGTCTGATGGGAAAATGCTTTCAGTCTTTTGCTCCGTCTGGGCTCATCTTGTATTGTCAAGTTTTATTTATAGAGCCGCTTTCATGCAAGATGCACAAAGTACTGTCCAGAGTGGTGCGGATGAAACACAATGACAGGATGAAAGCATCAGAAGGAGATAAATAAAGCAACAAATATTAATATGACATCGTAAAGAAACATTTTAAAAGTGTTAATAACAAGATTTATATAAAACTATCGGTGTAGAAATAGCCAAATGACAGTAAATGATAAAAAAACAAAACAAGGATTTGAAGTTGCAAAGTTCTTTTCTTTTACAGATTATGCCATAAAAATGCTGCTTCCTGAATAGAACTGAGCTCAGCAGACATTTAGTCTTTTAATAGCAGAGGAACTGATGTTCTTTATTGGGCCAGTGGACCTGTGATTTTATGTTGTAACCTAAATTCCCCCCGTGAAATGAAGTGAACTGCAATAGCAGTTGTAGAAAAGAAATACACATAATAATGGCAGCAAAGAGAAAGGTTGGGAGAAGAGGAGAAAGAACATTTTCTCATAGGGTGTGTCACCTTTGTATTTCTTGGCCGAGGGGATGCGCGTGAGCTTGGTGTCGATCTCGTCATCCTCGGAGATCTTGAGCACGGTGGTGCGGTACTCGATCACCCTCGTCAGCAGGTCCGGTCGCCGCGAAATCTCGAAGATGTGCTCGATGTACGACAGATTATCTGCATGGGAAAAGTTGTCATTAGTGTCAGTTTATAGCAGACATGTCAGACAAACTCTGCTCTTTGTTTCACACACTGGTAGGTAAAATAAAAGCTTCATATTTTGATAGATTATTTGAGTCTAGGTGTCTCACCTTGGGCCAGCTTGTCGTTCTTCTCCAGGTAGCTGAACCACTCCTTGCAGGAGGTGATGTTGTTGCTCTGGTCCTCGGGGATGTCCTCCTTGCAGGCCGACTTGAGCTGCTCCAAGTCTTCGTTGGTGATGTTTTCAGACAGGTCGCTGAGCAGAGAGCTGTACTCCGCCATGGTCTGGGCAGAAACAAGAGAGAGAGAGAAGAAACAGTTAGATATGCTGAATAAGAAGATGATCAAGAGGAAATAAAGAGGGAGAAATAAACAGAGGCCCAAAATATCTTCATGTTGCGTAATGTGCAAACCAGCCCGCCTAATTCCCAGACTCCAGTGCGGAAATCTTAGCTAATGACAAAAGCATACTGTCAGGGCAGGATGGAAAAAAGACAAAGAGAACAGATGATATCGAACAGGTCAATCGTCTCTCTCTTTGTATCTGAAAGAGGAGACTGACTGAAGAGACAGGACGTGACAAAACGGGACGAGATACTGTCTTGCGCCCTAATTAAGGACGTCCCAAAGGGTGGGGGGGATCTATGCACTCAGTGAAGGACTTTACTCAGGATTCGGCTTTTGCTTTCCATCACAAGGTTATCTATTTATATTGACTTTTACTATACTTGAACATTTCTTTCAACTGAAGCCAAAAAAGTCTCACAAAAAGATCCATTTCCTGTGTATCCAAAGCATGAAGGAGCGTGTTGGAGCTCCTATGCGTGTTGGAGGAGAGGCAGGTCTACCGCTCAGTGATTTATCCGTTGTATGCATGCGAGGTACTCAAATGCGTGGCTTGTTTTCAGATTTAGACCTGAAAGGGAAACAGTGGTTAAAGGATTCAGTGCAGGCATGCGTGATCAGGCTAGTGTTAAAGAATGAGTGTTGGGGTTTAGGTTATCTTCAAAAAGATTGGATATTTGTCTCTCTCTCTGTGTGTGTGTGTGTGTGTGTGTGTGTGTGTGTGTGTGCATTCCAGTGAAAGAGAAGCAGAGAAACAGAGAGAGTGCGTCGGGGCCGTCTGCTCCGTTGAGCTGCGTCAGTTTGGAAGAAGCAAAGGAAACGGATCAGGATGCAGACGCAGGTTTTGGCTCATATCTCGGTTTATTAACATATTTTGGGTCAAGCTATTCATGTGCATCTGCGTAACCGGATGATCGCGAATATCTGTGCATGAGTTACTTCAAACGTTATGGTGATTTGCAGAATGCGAAGAGTTACACAAGAACAAAAAGATCTGTAATTAGTGCCGCGTGTATAATAAATGCTTATACAAGATCAGGATATATTGGCGACCATCAGGATGATTCTTTAATCATTTTAAGTAGATTCACTGGTTCTAAATCCCCTCTTGTTCCAAATTTGAACACACAGTCTACAAAACATCAAGATACAGTGAGAAAATGTCCCTGGAAATGTCTCCAAGTGTCTTGTTTTGTCCAACCTGCAGTCCAAAACCAAAAGATATTCAGTCTACAATGATCAGACGATACAGGCCAAAACAAAGGCTGCTATCCCAAAAGTCCTGGTGAGATATTTCCCCAGCCCTCAGTGAGTTTAACGAGGCATCGGTTTAGCTATGTGGGAATGATTAAGGTCACCTAACAAACAGCTGCACCTCAGCTGGATCCACTGTCTTGCTCGGGGACACTTCGGCAACTCTGGGAAGCGACGCAAGTTGCAGAAGGACCGCCCCTCCCTTCTACCCATCTCTTGTAACCATAAGCTTCCCACGACATGAATGTACATCTCTTTTCTGTGTCACACACAGCAGCCCCCCCCCCC